GAGAAAAATTCGGAAACATGTATGCACGAGATCGTTATCCTTAGGCAGAGTGCTAGGAAGGTTTATTGAACAGTGGGATGCATTGCTAAAATATTTCCATGAAGAGACCAAAAAGAAACCACAAATCCCATCAAATTTGCCGACATATAAGATTCCGAAAACCAACTTTGCTTCTAATTAAAATGCTTTAAAAGGGAAAAGCTAACACACAGAATCAAACCCTTTAAAAAGAAAATGCTTAGAAGACTCCTCAAAGGTCAACTTTGTTAAAAAAGTTGAAGCGAAGAAGAAAACAGACAGTCTTCTATTAGCCGGGAGGAAAGGAAAGGATTTTATCTTCTTTCTTCAGATTTGAACAAAGCATATTGTAGTTTTGTGTTAAGTACCATAAAGATTTTTGAAAGTGTAAATACCCTTCTACAATCAGCTTTTCCAAAATCTCCCCTGCTTATCCAAATTCTTACTGATCTTTTGAAAGAACTTTATACTAAGTTTGTAAAACCGTCCGTTGTGAAAAACAGTGTGTTGATTCGTGTTGCCTATAATAGTTTGGCAAATCAAAAGGATGACAATGATCTTATAATTGGAAATCATCTTATAATTGGAATAAAGGGAACTTGTAAATTCTTTGAAAGATCATGAGAAAAAAGAATTTTTTCAATGTGTTAGAAAGTACTTCTCCTCAGCCTGTGATTACATTGTAAGGAAGTTTCCTTTGCAAAATGAAGTTCTTTTAAATGCTGAAGTGGCAAATTTGAGACAAATTGAAAATTCATCTTTTGAAAAGATTCGTTTTTTTATTGATAAATTTCCATTTTTGTTAACAATTAAAGGAAATGAATGCCATAATGATGCTTTAGATGAACTACAGAACCAATTTTCTGCTGCACAGTTTGAAGATTCTGGAGAAGATAGACTTGATGTCCTCGTTGGTACCTTAAAAAGAATAAAAGAGCTGATGGAACACCAAAATATGATAGACTAGCAAGAGTTTTATGTGCTATTCTCGTAATTCCACACAGTAACGCTGAGTGCGAGAGAGTCTTCAGTGTTGCGGAGAAAAACAAAACTCTGTTTCGTTCTTCAATTTCACCAAAAACTCTAGAAAACATTTTAATTGCTAAATGTTATGAGGAAACTAATTATTACGACAGGAAATTTTGGCTAAATCCAAAAAATGCACACTAAATTCATTGCAATAATTTTTTTTGTGTAACATTAAGTTCTTGTTTTATGTTTCCTAATAAATTTTTTAATTACTACTTAATTGAAATTTACTAATGTAAGTACAATTTTTTTTCTATTTGTATAAATTGTTATTTTTTAATATCAAAGCATGATATTAATTTTTCGTGTTCTTATGAATTTTGGAGAAATCTTCTGAATTTTTATCTTTAGAGGTTGGCAGTGTACCTTACTTAATTAGCTAAACTGGTTTAAATCGAAGATGAATTAGAACTTTGTGCAATGTCCTTGTTGTTGATAGCAGCTTGCAAGACATTAAGAGTATTTCGCTATTCTACAGATATCGCTTCCTCATTTGCCTCCATGTTTGGTCTCTTAGGCCACAAATTTTCAAGCTGGAGATGATGGTCTCAGCTCATTCCCCTCAAGACAGTAGATCTGCTGTGTTATCTCTTCCACTGAAATGGTACCATTGGTTAGCATTGCAAATTGTCTAGATTTCTGCTATACAGTTGCCAACAAATGGCTTCCAGACATTTGGTGATTTACTTATCCAGTGCAGCATCATTTGGGAGTCATTCCAAAAGATAATATTGTTGCTTAATATAGGCAAGATGTGTTTTAAATATTTAGCTAAACTGCTACAACAGCTCCCATTAGCTTGCATCTAGGGATAATTAAAGATTTTGGGAAAGCTACTCTACTTTTTGTCTATATGAAACTGGTTTTAATTTCCTTATTTTCATCAGCGTATCAATAATATGTCACTGCTCCATAAGCTTGGTGCCGCATCACAAAAAATATGAATGCTCAGCTTCTTGTAATTAATGTGAAAGAATTTTCTAGGGAAATCTGGTGTTTTTAAACATTTCATTTCTGCACACCAGTTCATCCACCTTTTTTTAATATTGGTAGGAAGTGCAGCATCCCACTCGACCCAAAAGACAAATGTCTTGTAACATGATCTTAACCCAAACTATAAATGATTGCAAATATCCAATAAGGTCAAATACTTCGACGACTGTTTTCAGCATCAGTCTTTTTGTATCGTCTTCACCAGTTCCAATTCACTCCTGAACTGGTTTCATGTTTAGCTTTATTACATCACTACTAGGATCCCCAAAATTTTGTTTCTTTATTGAAATTATCTTACTCTTTAATATTTGATCTCATCCATAATGCATTTAATTCATCTAAATTCGATTTCAGTTTTCTCAAATTCATACACAATTGGTATGCATCTTCTACAGTTTTCCCTCCATAAAATAAGTCATTAATGTAAATAGAAGAATTAAGTATTTTAAAACTCTTGCTATGGTCCCATTTATACCCTTTAATATGATATTTTATTGTAGTAGCCAATAGAAAAGGACTAACTGCTGCCCCAAACAAGACCTGACACATGCGCGTAATATTACATGTTGGTCATCATTCCCAAACCAAAGAAATCTTAAGTAATCCCTATTTCTTCTGCAATGCTAGTTATTAAAAATGCCTCTTCTATGTCCCTGTAAAATACTATTTCAGGTTCATATCAAGAACTTTCGGGTTCAAATTTCGGCCAGTTTCTAGACATTCATTTAAGGATTTGAATTTTCCGGTCTCCGAAGTACAACAGAACTACATCCAAGGATCAAAAATATATACAAAATGAAAGCCTACCTTTTATTTTCTCATGGGTATGATTTAGTAATCCAAACCGTTATGATCTAATAGTCTTGCTTTGTAAAATTGTTAATTAAAAGGATAAATTATAGTTAAGGAAAATGTAGTCATGTGAAAATATGAATATTTTTGCTATATTTAATAAATCACTGGATAAATTTAAGTAAGTACATATTTATATTAAGTACATTCCCTAAATAAATTTCTAGATTCCAGTCTTTATAAAAATATGTTTATCAGTATTTTAAATTCCCTTCCCCAAATTCTGAGATAAGCTGTGGCATGCGCATACAGATGTTTGATTAAAAAAAGAACATGCGAATAGTTTTTAAGGGCCTTAGATTTTTGTCTTTTTATTATTCAAGTAATTTTTTAAAAAAATTCTGTGTACTCTCATTGCAGAAATCTGAGAGAAATGCTGAAAGTTGTTCAACAGTTTCAAGTGTAAATATACAGTCAAAAGTCATTAATCTGGACTCGTCACTACTTCAGCGATTCCGGATTATAGATCACGAGTTTAAATCTGGTAAGACGGCATGCAGAAATTATAAAATTAAAAATATGAAACCGTAATTTATGAAATAAAGAACAATTATGATCTAAAGGGTATCAAAATTTACAAAAAAAAAAAAAAAAAAAAAAAAAAAAAAAAAAAAAAAAAAAAAAAAAAAAAAGCTTAATATTTCTTTGTTTACTTTATTAAACATTTCTTTCAATGTAAGTTGTTTCGTTTTTTATGTGATAATACATTCTCTTTAATTGTATAAACAGACATAATTTCTTGTTCAGTTACAAAGTTCCGCTGTTCAAGTCCTATAATTGCTGTGTCGAGAATACCGACTAATTTGTCAATCAAAATTTTTTCGTTTTCAATAACCTCTGTCACTTTCTTCGCTATCGGAAGCGAATTATAATGACGAGGAATTTGATTTAAATCATATCAAAGACGGAGTACATCGAGATGAAATAATACATTTAGTAAGGAATTATAAGCCAAATAAAATAAAAACATCTGCCCTGAAGATAAGGATAGTGCTGACAGATCAACTTCCAATTCATTGTGTGCCGCAGCGTTAAAGATAAACAAAGTTTAGATAAACAAACGTTAAAGTTTAGATAAACAAAGGATATGTCTTTATCCATTTTTTGCAGCAATTCCACTTTTTGTTTGATAGACATCGGAACACGCTTTCGCTTTATAGATCCTTTGATAGCTCCAGAATCGGAAATTTATTTGTTTACTTTATTAAACATTTCTTCCAATGTAAGTTGTTTAAGATGCTTCCAAAAAAATTCAAAAAGTTCATTTTCCTTGTGTTATATATAGTTGACTTTCCAATGCCATATTTCTCACATAATTTTGAGACGGATAGTCTTTATGTATTTTTTGCAGTAATTCCACTTTTTGTTTAATGGACATCGAAATATGCTTTCGCTTTGTAGATCCTTTGGAAACTCTATTTGACATAATCGAAAGTTCAAGCTTACTTTTATAAAATTGCTTTAATAGTCTGCAAAAAATAATAAGCCGAATCCAATTAGAAGATTAAGGAACAGTGCAATCTGCAACATTAACTGAATTAGATAATTTTAGCTTTGCTTTTACCGTCCGTTATACATTAAATGCGCATTCGTAAACGTATTTTGCACACGCCTATTCGCAGCCGTAAAGGTTTTACGTGCGTGCATCAATGCGATGCATGCGCAGAAAGTTTGTAGCTTTGAGGTCCGGATTATGGGTGTCCGAATTAACGACTTTTGACTGTATTAGTTTTTCTGTTTTTAATAATTACAAATTCATTCAATAGTGTGTTAGATCATGTTGCTTGAAATTATCAATCAATTGATAAATTAGTTAGATCACTATTAATGGTTGTTACAACAGTCACCAAAAATGTTAGATTATATCAAACTGTACCACAAGACATGTGGCTTCTAAATTCTTATTAATAGTAGTATTAAAAGTGTCAGTAATAAGTAAGTGTCATTAAAAGTGAGTAAATCATATTTGCTTTTTACTTGTATTTCTTATTTTTTTAGTCTAAAATATTGGATAGTTTTATATCATGTGAGGTTTATATTGTATAGTTACAAAATGTATCATATGAGATTTAATTATATATGAAGAAATCTTGATGTTACTTTTGTAGATGTGACAAATGTCTGTTTTAAGTATTATCATGGTATTACCGGTGCACTACGAGCTGTCAGTCCCGTGGTTACTGTTAGAAGGTTCCTGGACTCCTGTGGACCTCAAGTAAGAATTCTGTTTTATAAACAGTACTGAAATAATATTGGGAAATCTGGCTACACTAAATTCTTTGTTTTCTTAACTTTCCATTCATTAGGATGGTAGTTAAATCATTAAACAAAATAATTTGAAACTGAGAACTGTGAAGCACTTTTTTCAAGATAACTGACAGGAAATTTAAATATTGGCTAAAAATTTAACAGTTCAGAAATTCCTTGAGTTTTTGTCATTTTGATTAGAATATAATTTTTAAATCTTTTTGTTGCATGGATTAGAAATTCTATGTTTTATGGAAATACAATTACAGTAGCTATTATTTTTACTATTTTTTATTTATTTATTTATTTTTACTGTTGTGTAGAAAATTTCATTTGATTATTGTTTGACTTTAGTAGTAAAGAGCAAATTCATTGCTTTACTGTGAATAATCAAATTTATGTACATAGAATAGTCATGGGACTGAAGATGTATTGGTGGGATATTCTTCTCAGCAATACCCTGTAGAAATGGTGAAGTTTACTTTATCTAGTAAGTACTTGAAATACATTTTAAATAATATGACTGGTTTTAAAGCAAAAACTTTTTTTTTTTTTTTTTTTTCGATTTCTAATGCACAGAAACATTTTCAGACCTCCATGCAAGAAATTTGAAAAAGGGGATGTTTTTTAACCCTGATCCCTATGTCAAAATATCTATTCAACCTGGAAAAGGAGAAGGTGTTTTACTTTTACCTCATCATGGCCAAGTTTGTCGAACTGGTATTGCTGAATCTACTACTCACCCTTCATGGCCTGGTCAGGTAAAGTAAAAATGTGTTCATGAATGATGAAATTTTTTTATGCTTTTGTGTTATAGCAGATACTCATCCTTGTGGTTAATCACAATTAAGAAAATCACCATCCTTGTGGTTAATCACTGACCAAATCGGACATTTTTATCTGTATCTTACTCCATTTAAAAACTAGGAGTTCCGTCCTTGCCACAAAATAAGTAATACATAGCTCTTTTAAAATTGATAGCTGAGAACACTAGAATCAATTTCTAAGACAATTTGTGGCCATGTTTTCTTTTGAACATACTGAAAATCCTACCTAACTAAAGAATAACAAATGCATTATAATCCCTCTACCTTATTAGAAGAAGCTGTATGTTAATCATGATTTGTAACATTAATTAGCTATTATTAGATGTGCAATGGAACCTCGCTTTGCAAGCATAATTTGTTCCTGCTAACTAAAGAATAATGAATGCATTATAATCCCTCTACCTTATTAGAAGAAGCTGTATGTTAATCATGAATTGTAACATTAATTAGTTATTATTAGATGTGCAGTGGAACCTCGCTTTGCAAGCATAATTTGTTCCTGCTATCCTTACTTGTAATGTGAAAAGAATTTTTCTGTAGGAATCAATGTGAAATACAATAATCCTAAAAAGTTGTCTAAAAACATTTGATTTTGAATATGCTTCAAAATTTGGCAAAAATGAGATGCAACATCATCTTTAAATAAGTTTGTAGCATGCGTAGCTACTGCCTTATTAGTGTGGACGCAGTAGTTTCCCATGCTTTGAGCATCTCTTTTGTTTGGAAACTTGAAGTTTTGCTGAGGAGAAGATACCTCCTACCCTTTTGAAATCTCCACTCCCTTCCGTAACACAGAATGCATTTGCATAATTTCTTCAGTGGTCAGTACCTGGCTTTGCTCTTCCACTAGTTCACTGATGTCATTGCTATCCACCTCTATTCCCATACTCTTGACTAGAGACAATCTTGTCAAATGCTCAGTGATAGGAAGATGTTAGCTGAGTGAGCACTAACACAAACTAGTAGCCAAGTAATTTTTATAAGTTAACATAATGCTTTAAGAATACCAAGTTACTCTAAATATCTTCCGTCTGAAAGCAGAGATCTTAAGATTATATTACTGATAATCATGTTTTTTAATTAAACTGTTTATAATTATTAAAACTGTATAAAAATGCTTTATTTTGAATAATTATAATTAAATATAAAATACTCATTTGAATTGTAATAATTGTTAATATATTTTAATGTGCTGCTGGCCATTAAAATTGCTACATTGTAAAGGAAAGCAGTTAGCAGAACTATATCTATTTTGCAAATGCATTATAATAGAAAGATGGAATGATTTAAATTTCAGGTAATTTTGAAAATATAGGGCATGCAGAAATCTGCACCTTAAGTATCTTTGGCAACAATAGCATTTGTTGTATGGAGTTGGACAGACTGCCCGTAGCATTTTAGGGTATTGCAATCTATGTTGCTTCACTTCTTGCCAGAGTTCATCTGTTCTGTTGGCTGGCAGGTATTGTATGAATGTGTCTTTCCGGTCATCAGACATTTTCATTTGGTGAGAGATCTGGAGAACATACCAGCTAAAGCACAAGTCTGACATCTTGTGTATTGAGAAAATGCAGGACAGTGTGGGTAACAGACGCTGAAGATAAGACAAGAGCCACGAGCATTTAAACCTCAGTAATGTAAATCTGAGCCATTGGTGTGGTGATTATTGAGATTCTGCACATCTCTATGTGTGACCTTCTGAACTAAAAACAATCATTGAATCTGAACTAATATGAACAATAATTACATTGTATGATAATCTATAGCCCTGGTGTGCTATGATTCTCCAACATGCAAATTCCGACACATACCTATATGAATTTTTTTGTGTGTGTGTCAGAGGCATAGCATTTATTGTAATCTTAAACATATAAAATGAGATTTCTGAATGAAAAATCGGAGTTTTAGAGTGTTTTTTATAATCTGTCTGATACCGTTAACTTTTGTCACTAATATGTACATATCATGAAATTCTTATCATTTGCTATTCTGATGTTCCTATGTTCGATTTTTCATACAATTTCAGATTTGTTGTGTACTGTGTAACAGTTCTCTAGCAATTTTAATGGTCAACCTTGTATGTTACATAGAAATAAATTGACGACATAAATAATTGCAATTGCAAAGAAGCTGTAAATTTTTGCCTGAATTGGTGAATGATAAGTTTTTTAAAATGTCTCTCTTTGAATTTTAAACAAAATTTTGTCAGTAATCATGAACGTCTATGAAAAGCAGCAGCAGAATGTTTGCAAACAAATTTTTCATTTTACTTTTCTTAATAAAATATTTTTATTTATAAAATATATTCTCATACCTGATGGCTTATATTATAACTTTATTTAAGAGAAAATATTGGTAAATGAGCTTTATTTTGAATGTGCTTATGTTGCGTACTGATATTGTATTGGAATTATTATATAGCTAAGAATCATACTTTGGGAAGAGCAGGCAGAATGAACCATAAACTTTCGAGTTTCATTTTCAAATATGTAATAGTTTTGCAAGTTCACTCACACCAAGATAGTAAATAACATCTGGTGGTTAGAATAGTGGTTTCAAACTCAAACTGCATGTGGACCAAATGCACAACTGAAAGCAGCTAGGACAGTGATATTTTTAACAAAATTAAAGTTTTCCTTCTTTGTCATGAATTAAACATGCACATTGGTCTGTCTGGTTCTTTTCTTAGGTTCATAAATTTTCTGTTCCCCCCCCCCCCCCCAAAAAAAACCTCTTCATATATAAATGTAGTTCCAAACAAAGCTATTATTCTTATTGCAGAAACTTAAAGGGGTATGCTTATCCTTTTTCTGGTACGAATAAAAGTTAATCAAATTCTGTATCTGAAATGTTTGCCTAAAATTTATACCACATTCTAAATTAAATAATCCCATTTTTAGATTTTAAGGTCTCACATTCATTTTTAGAAATTAAAATAGTGTAAAATTTAGAGTACAAATCATTAAAATCCGAAATTTTTTCTTCTGTTTTTGTCATAATGTTTAATAATTTATGGCAAATGTATCTGCAGATTGTGCAAAATTACTTTGGGGGGGGCACCAGTTTGAGACCACTTGTTTAGAATATGTCTAAAAAAATTATTAACGGTTAATAGCACAATATGTAAAATTGAAATCACTTAATGGATAGGTAACATATAAATTGGATCAGATTTTTTTAATTAAATTTATCATTTAGTACTTTTATTCATGTTGTATATTTTATACATTAACTATCTCTTATGCACTTCAATGAAATCAAAATTTCCTTGAAGTATTGTTTTCACTTAATTATATTTTCCTTTTGCAGTTTGAGTTTATTGCCTATCCATCTGATATTCTAGACTTCGAAGTAAAAGATAAATTTGCAAAAAGTAGACCTATCATTAGTCGTTTCTTGGGAAAATTTTCTGTGCAGATTTGCCTTCTTCTTGATCAGTTTACGGGGTAAATATTTAATTCAAGCTTACATTATTTGTTCTAAATGATTTTATTATTTAATATAAGCTAGTAAATAAATATTTTAAGGTTTTAACCTGATATTTTATTAATAAATAAAATAAATTTTGTTCAATTCAAAATTTTGTTGTATATAGAAACTTGTTTTTTCTCTAGAAACAAAAATGCATGAATGTATATTAAGTTTTATAATTTAAGATTAAAAATAGAATTAAATGTGATGCCTTTACCATTTACAGGAAGAAATGTGTATATGATATAATGATGCATTACATTAATTTTATTATTTTGAAGTTGGTAGTTGATTCAATCATCAAAATAAATGTTTTAATGTATATTCAGATAATTTAATGGAACTAGAAATTGCTTTGAATGGTTTGTTAAAACATTTATTTATTGAAGATATTATTTAAAATTCAGTAATAATTTTAAGCGCTATAATTATACTTGGTTGCTTTATAATTTGCATTAAAAATTAGTAAACGTTGTTTATGATAATTTGGCACAAAGGTTCTGTAACTTTAAGAAATTCATAAAGCAAATATCTTGTCCCACTTCTCTGTATTCACAAAAAAATATTATTTATTTATGCATAATTTTTAAGTTAGTTTTCAGAAAGAAATTTCATCTTCAAAATAATAAACTATGTGTTTGCACAAAAAATAAAGTGCATAAAAGACTGGAACTGAACATTTATGCATTCTCTTCCTTTTAAAGTGCTGCTTTAAGATAATATTGCATCTGACTCTCATTATAAACTAAGGTTCTTGGGGAAAATTTCAGTCTGTGTTTCTAACTAGCAAATTTAACATTGTGGGCATAGTATGTCAGTTTTTCACATTTAATAGAAATTGCACTTTTATATTTGAAGATTTATAGTAAACTTATATAGTGATATTTGATTTGTTCCATTTTGCCATTTGCATTCAGTAGTTTTATATATTGACAACATTCTATTAATTTCATTTACTGTATAAACTATTCATTATCATTATATTCAAATCAGGCTCTGTAATACTTGTGAAAAGGTCTATTAGCCACTAATAGCCTAAGCTACTAGTGGCTAATGTTTATGTATTTAATTCTTGTGAGAGGTATTAACGTAACTTCTCAGTTACTAAAATTTTTCATTGTATCAGTCTCTTTTTCTCATGATAGTATGGTATTTTTGTAAATTTCATAAATTTAAATCTAGATTGTTAATTCTGCTGTATATTAAAACTATTTTATGAATATTTTACTGAAATTATTACTGCCATTGCATCAAATTAATGGAAAACTCTTGTTTGAAACTGATGGCTAGAAGTGACCTATCAAACACTCAGATGACCTGTTAAGCGCCTTACATCAAACAACATAATTGGAAGTTCAGAGAAAATGTTTTTGAATGAAACTCAAAGTACTACTCTACAGAACAAATAAATAATAAGAAAAAGTTTTATTGCTGTTGAGAAAAAAATGTATACAATTCCCCCCTTTTTATTGCTGTATTGTGGGAAAAGGTGTGTGGTTTTCCTTCTCCTTCTAACTTTATAGCACTGGATGCAAATTCTTTAATACCTTGTAATTATACCATCTTGTATACCTTGTATGCTTGTATAAATTATCAAGCAAAATATTTTTGATCCTGTTTTTAAAAATGATGCAGTTTAATAATACCTCAAAGGAAAACTGTTTTATTATCAACAATTTAAAAAAAAATATTATTTATCAGCTTATTCTTCTGTGACTGCAAGTAATGTATATTCAAGCCATTGCTTTACCTATTTCATATATATATCAGATTTGTAAAGAATGTTTTTTGTTTTCAATATTTCAAGTTTTTTGAGGAAAGGGCATCTTTTCTCTCCCCCCCCTTTTTTTTTCTCCTGTAGGTAATTTAGACCTGCTGTTTCAAAGCCTTATGTTAATGTAAATAAACCCAAAAAATAATTCCCTCACTCCCTGTGCCAGTTTCTAATTGTAAGTAAACTTCTCTAAATGTTTTAATGTTTTATTTCTTGAGAAATTGATGGCAGGAAAGAAAGGAATATGATATTTTTAATTATGTCTCTTGGTATGCATTCTTTTATACTTTCTTTCAAAATTGGGATGTTTTAGGATATAACCTTAAAGCACTTTTACACCAAGTAATCAAATCCTTACTATTAGTAATCAAATCTCCCTATTCGATCCTGATCTTATAAAATGATTCAGATTTTAAGTGTAATATATAAAGAATTAATTGAGAAATCTCAAGAATTGTCATAATTTTATGTTTTATATAATATTGCTTTTAAAGAGTATACAGTTGTGAAAATATTTTAAATGAGATATTTTTTGGTAGGAAATGTTAAATCATGAAGCTTTAAAACTATAAACTGTGTTCAAATTTCTAATGCTTTTTAAAGCCAAATTAAGCCTTTACTTGTATTAAGCATTTTATTTTTTGAAATACTGAAACTTGCATAATGTCTATATAATTATTGTTTTTCTCTGGTTTTAGGATTCCAATAGAATTCAGTTTCAGTTTGTGCAATAAAAACCCATCTGATCATGTAACAGGGCAGTTATCATTTACTTTCACTCTTGAAAATGGTCCAGGTATAAAAATATATATTATATCTTTTTTTTTTTTTTTTTTTTTCATGTTTAAAAATTAATTTACAGCATATTGTTCAGAATTGAATGAATCTTTCACTGTAAGCTGTGGCTTTAAAAATACTTATGAAAGAAATCTGCTTAACAAAGATATATGAATTCTTTGTAAAGACGTTAAATCTTGCTCTATCATGCTTGAAAAATTTTAACATTGAAAAGGCTGATATTTAATTAAAGTGCCTTTTTTACATGTTTCTTACAGAGTAATTAAAGAAAAAAATGGTAATAGATATTTAAGCGTGCAAAATTTTCTTTTGGGACAAAAGTTTAGAAATAATGATTAAAATTATTTTATTTGTTCATACAGTAATAGTTTGCATATTGATTTTATGCTCAAGTTATCCTAAAACATTCAGTTTGTAAGACATTACTGAAAGAGATATCATAACTTTCATTTTTTATATTTTCATGTATACATGATATATTAAGTTAAAAAGGAAAAGCTATAAATTTTGTAATCGTATAAATGTGTTTGTTATTTGCATATGTAAGTAATATATTTGTATGTATTATTCTGAAAATCCTGTCTTTTCTTTAGTCGACCCATGGACTCACATTCGTCAAGTCCATAATCCCATATATGCAACTGATCTTTCTGATTCACAGATAACTGGGTCATCCGTCCCAAACACACCTCAGCACATTGTACTTTCTAGTCGATCAGCTCAAATGCTAAATGGTAATTTGTCTGGTAATGGCAGTAGCCATTCCGTAGCTGGGTCACGTGCCTCTGAGCCATCAAGAAGAGATGGGCAGCCTCGAAATATTCGTTCTGGTTCTGATCAAAGCATAAATAGTATTGCAGCTGCCCCACCAGCTGCTCGGAGAGCTTCTCAGGCATCTGTTACTCGTCTATCTATTCCATCAATACCTACAACCACTGCAAGCAGTAACAGTATTTGCAGTGCTGGCTCTTCCACAGTGGCCTTTACTAATATGGAATATGTGCTTCAGCCTGCAACTGATTCCACAAATAGCATTGAACCATCTCCTAATCCTACCCCAGTAAAAGAGATGGATGTTCCTCCACCTCTGCCACCAAAGCAGAAATCAGCTAAAGTGCATCGTCCTCTGGAGCGATCTAAAGCCCATCTTGTAGGACCAAGCACATCTTCGCAGGATGGACCTTCAGTTAGCAGAGTGGAAATATCAGACACCAGTCAGTTATCAACTCATAAACCTAAACATACTAAACCTGAAGACAGTTTTTTATTGGAAATAGTTGATACAGATGAACAAAATGGTAATACAGATGATGATGATGCAACTCCATGTATTGATGGTGATGAAAGTGTGAGTGCCTTGTCAACATCTGTATCAGTACCTCTTCTTCGAGATTCTAGTCCTCCACCTCCAGCATTGCCCCAGAGAACATCTAGTGGTGCACCACGGCCTGTAGCTCTTCCAGTTCATCCAGTGGGATCTAATAGTTATCCTGATGGTCATTATATCAATCAAACTCAAATACACTGTGAACACTCAGTTTCCCAGCGAACAGCCCCCTTAGCAACTCCTGAACATGACTCCATCCATGAAGGAGGACCATCATTAGAAAACATAAATGAAGCTGTTAATTTTGAGGGGGAAGATGAAACGCCTGTTTTAAATTATTCAGAGCTGGAACCAAGTATAGATGCATATAGTTCTTCAGATCTTGATCATGAAACTTATCTTAGTCTCAGTGAAGCTAGTGATTTAGCTCGTGTTGCAAATTCAATGGATCACATGACTAATGATTTTGGTGAGCTTAATTTAGATAATGATGAAATCCCTGGTAGTTACAGTGTCTGTGTACCAGATGTTGTCACTCCGCCGTGCAGCAGCCCCTCATCCCAAACTCTTAGTGCCAGTGAAAATGAAGAGCCGCCGGGCGACGGAGATAATCTGCAGAGAAATGGTTCCTATGGATCGGACTCCGATTCCATTGACGGAGAAAATGTGCTTGCATATCCTGATGCAGTAGCACAGGAACCGTCCTTACCGAGTTGCGCTACTACCCCCGATATGCCCTCAACATCAAGAACGGGGATGCACTGTAGTACCAGCTCACTCAGTTTGTTATCAACACCAGATAGTGTTCAGACTCCTGTTTCTCCTGGTTTGGTTGTCAGTCCAGCTAGTGATGACCTCAGTCCAGTTAGCCCTACTGATGAAACTTCTGATGATGGGCCATCTCCATTGAGGACGTCCCCTTCATCTGAAGAGCGGGATAACCATGTATCTCCATCTCAGCCTAGCATTGCAAATCACTTAACTTACATAAGGCCAGACTCAGATTTATGGGTCCAGAGGCGCAATTCTCTTGGGTAAGTAGTACCTCATTAATTCTACAAATTATTTTATCTGACCTTCATTTTGTTAAATTTTTATATTTTATAAAATTGTCTCTCTTTATATAGTTAAAACTTATGGGAAACTTATCTGTATAGATATTTACAGTTGAATCAGTTATAATACAGCCTTTTTAGGATATTTATGCTATAATGAAATCATTTGTTTGTTATAAATGTATAAAAGTATAAATTTGTTATAAATTGAAAAGATATTTATGTTTCACTAAAATTAAATATGTATGTGTGGTTATTTTTATACTTATGTATACAATATATTTGAAAAATTATAACTGTTTCAAAGAATTTAGGGTATCTTATGTACTGTTGTTGTTTTGTCATGTTTGATATTGCAACACACTTATGCTTGTTTGTGGTACTGAGGTGAAAGTCTTGATTTTCCCCAAAAAATTAAAATTTTAAATTGACAGACCTCAGCTCTATTTTTGTTCAGTAATAAATTTCATAAAGATATTTTTTCAGTGTAAGGAAGTTTTACCTGCATTATCCAGTTGTCTTAATTTGACAGATGTGAACTCCTTTCATCGGCAGTAAATACACTGGTCATCAGAATTAAAAAATGTGGACAGAAATAAAGCTTAAAAACTAGTTATTGAAAAAAATTATTAAAAACTTCTTCGAGAACAAAAATGTTATTTAATGTAGTTTAGCATGCTTGCCAGTTGATTAATCTCAAAATACAGTCGAATGTGCTTATAAAGAATGTGAAGGGTGCGCAATATTTGCTCATTATAGCCGAGTGCTTGTAGAAAATGGATTCATGAAAAAATCATTAAAATTTCATGTATACTTACTATATATGTACTTACTGTATTTATATTTTATTTTTGTACAGTAAAAAAAAACATTGGTTAATATGCTTATTCTCTCTTTCTTGTGGTACTGTTTGTTCCTTGGAGAAAATTCGTGGCCCCGGAAAACATCATCACCCCTGGCTTCCAAAAACGTTTAGGTTTTCCTGCTTACTCGAAAGTCTTTATGTTGTGAGCAGTTCAGATTCTTCACATTCATCTCATTAATGTAGCTTTTATTATTTTTTTTAATTTAATTTATTTATTTATTTATTTTTGTTTATCTGCTTTAGCGAGGATTTCAGCTATAGTGTCTTTGAAAGTAGGTATCTCGGAAATGATAACAATGGCATCAACAGATACATAATTTTCAAATTCTTCTCTACTCATTTCCAAATTTTACAAGTCGTCTACTTCTTTCTCCCCCCCCCTCCCTCAGTGAATTGCCTCTCTTGAGAAATGTTCAATCCAGCCTTATGTTTTCCAGTGCATTGTTCATTAAACGTGCCGCTTTAAGTATGTTTATGTTAGCACTTGAGATAGTTCTTATTTTTTCTCTTCCATTGAGAAACATCAAAATCAAGTGCTAATAAAAGTTTTATTTAAAACTTCTGATGAACCCTTGGTCCAAAGGCTTGATAACATTTGTAGAATTTGGTAGTAAAAATTTAATCCTCATCCTTGTAAGTCCAGTGGTTTCAGGATGTGCTTTAAATTTATCAATTAAAAAGAAAATTTTATGCTTTTGTTTCCTCTCTTGCCTGTCCCATTTTGAAATTAAATTCATGAAAATGTCTGATGTCATCTACGCTCTTTTTTGCTATGGTCATAATCAACAGGAAGCATTTTTATATGTTTAAAATACATAGGTTTTTGGTCTTGTTCCTTGGAGTTCTAACAGTTTCTTCTTGTCCAGACATATTAGAACACGCTAAAGCTATCCATCAGTTTTTGCAGAGCTTGCCTCTGATACACTTTTCACAATCTTAAATATCTGCTGTGAGGTTACAATGTAGAAAATGCACACTTCATTGGCATTGTAAATATCATCTTTTATGTATCTTTCTCTGATGACTTGCCACTTTTCACTTATCCATGTCACGATATCCACCATGCTTGCAGATTTTGCTTCACTACAGATTTTTTCATGTGATTGTCTGATTTTGAGACAAGCATTCAACTTGCTTAGTAAGATTTTTTATCTGTGTATTCTTTAAACATACTGAAGGTACCTCTGTAATTTGCTCAGTATTTGAAGGCATGCAAATAGCTGATTGTGTGCCTTTTGTGACTTCCGAAACTGTAGCGGCTATTTGCTAAAAGGTTTTCCATCTGCAGTTCAGTCATTTTTAACCCGGCGGAAGGCACATCAAGGAAAGTTACTAGAGTGGGTGCATGGGGTATCACATACCCCAATATTTTACAGTTTTATTTAGTTTATTTAGTTATTTATTTATAGTTTTAAATCTGTTTTTCTTTTATAGTACTGGAATAATGATACTTAAGTTTCAAAATAAGTTTTTACAGACTTAAAATTAAGATTAATAATAATAACAAAATAAGGTTTTATTTATTTTCATTAAGGTTTATTCTCTAAGTTTTATTGCCTCTCTAATACACGATGCTTATTTTATTTGTTTACACTTTGAACAAAATACATTCATGTGTTGTTAGTTTCAGTTCAGTAAAAACAGAATATTCAAAATTCTGGATAAGTAAATAAAGAAAGGTTGCTTACCTTCATGATCCGCATTCTCATTCTTGTCCGCCGCTTTGGTAAACTATCCGATTTGCTTTCAAAACTCATCTAAAATTGACACTATTTTGCACGAATTTATTTTTTTACATTTTACAAAAACAAGAATAATATCTAAATCATTACAACATCAAAAACACTTCTAACAATTTAGCGTCATTGTTCTACAGTGCATTATTCTACAGCATCACTGTTCTAAAAGCGTACACTCATCATTGCCAGTTCTTAAAAAACAAACTTTCTTTTTCAATTCTCGTTGGTCTGGTGGCGAAGCATGTGTCGTTTGCAACACACTTCCCCAATGAGTTTCACCAAGTTGAAACTTAGCCACAGTCTGGTTGAAAGTTCATGAGATCTAATTATTCAGGGGTTCGAATCACTCGTCCACATCTAGTTGTTTTGAGAGGATTCTGATTGAGTTCATCTGACTGATCTTTGTCAGTGACACGAAAATCTGTAGATCCAATAGAAGTTGTAGGCGTATCAAAAATTTTTTGATCAGAATGCTTCTTTCTCAAACAGTCTCCTGTATTATCTGTTTGTAAATGGACTTCCAACGTATAAATTCGTTGTATGGATCGAAGGATTTTGCCATGTTTGGTGCGTAATTTTACTAAATGAACTATACCATCATTTCATGGGATGAGTGTTATAATTTTTCCTAGAGGCCACTTGATTCTTTTCTCAGGTGTTTTTATTAACACAATGTCTCCAACCGATAGTTTAATATATTTCTCTGTTTTTAAAATATGGTTTTCCAGTTGTCTTAAGTATTTGGTTTTAACCGTTTTCTTAGATCTTCTCTGACCATCATCTGGTATACATACCTTTTTTGTAAGTATTTGGCATCAATAGTGTCTAGATCTGGAACACCACTTTCTTTTAGATCGCGAAAAAACATTGTAGGTGTAAAGGGTTCCAGTTCCAAGTCCTCGGAAATATGTGTTAATCGTCTGCAATTTAAGATACTTTTGCAATCGCAGAGGATCGTAGAGAGTTCTTCATATGTCAATGAGGCATTACCTAAAACTTCTCTTAGAATGTTTTTCATCAGGCCAATCATTCTTTCCCAAAATCCACCCTACCAGGGAGAAGCTGGTGGGATAAATTTCCATTTAATTCAGTTGACAACATGATTCTTAATAATTTTATCCCAGTCAATCATTTTTAAGAGCGAATTTTACGAAAAAATTACTACCGTTATCAGTGTAGACAATTTCAGGTCTTCCTGTGCGAGCTATAAAACGCCCGGAAAGCCAATAAAAAGTTATCTGTTTTGACAAAGACGTTAAAAGTTCAAGATGAATTGCCATGTATACTGCACATGTAAATAAAATTATCCACGTTTTTGACCCACTTCTTAAAAACAAAGGGCCAGCTAAGTCGATACCTGTCAGAAAACAGAAGAATCTCTAACACGGTCTTTTGGCAAAGGTGTTTATTGTACCATGGTGGGTCTCGAATCAAATCTTCTACATTTAGTGAAGTTTTTCAACACTAATAGACACGAAATAACACACGAATGGTTTTACGACCTTTCAGAATTCAGAAATTTTCACGGTGCATTGCCATTAAAGTCTGAGTTCCGCAATGCATTTGTTGTTTATGTTTTTCCATAATCAATTTAGAGACAACTGGATGTTCAGGAGGTAGGATTACAGGTGTACTAAAAATTTTTAAGTCTTGTCTCATTAATATTCTTGACTTTACTCTTAAAAGACCAGATGAATCAACAAATGGTTTTAAATGCAGTGAGCGTTTATCCTTTCCTGTTTTAAAGGAGACTTTTTGCACAATTTTCTAAACAAGAACTTCAGCTGCATTCAATTCTTCGATTTCTAAGTTCTTTGACATTGTTCTATTTTTATCTCTTCAGTTGTCAATATACCTTTTTATCCAGCTTTTATCCAGGCCCAGGCTGTAACTCTAATTAGTTTCTCAAAAGAAGAAACTCGTGAGAAATGTGAAAATTCTTGATCTACATTTGTTAACAAGGATACAACTGCTTTTCTTCTTTCTCGATCAATCATATCTTTGTCAGGAGAAGTAACAAAAGTAGGCCAACAGTCTGGATTCAACTTCAACCATGCTGGACCTTCATGCCATCTTTAAGCTTTAATAGTTTCAACAGAACATCCTCTTGACGGAATATCTGCAGGATTCAAGTTTCCAGGACATAATTCCATGTATCAGGATTAGTAAGAGCTCGAATTTCTTTTACTCTATTCATAACAAATACACTCCAATTTTCTTCATTCTTAATCCAGTACAATGTGTTCCTTGAATCTGTCCAATAAAACGTCGGTATATTTTCTTCCTTTAAATCTTGTTTTATAGATTTCATTAATCTTGCACCAATAACACAAGCTAATAATTCTAGTCCACAAATTGATGTGGGTTTTAGAGGA